AGTTGTTTTAATGAAAGTGTAAAGACTTTATTAGCAAAGAAGTATAAAACTTCTTGCGAATATCTTTTTTGTGTGTGCTCAAAGGATCAGTGGAAAGAGTTTTTTCCAATAGTAGTAGATGCTATTTTTATCACAATACATAAGTACTTAAGTATTTCATAATTGATATATATGAAACCAGCTACCTTATTGTTTGAAAGGTGTTGCAAAATAGCTTAAAGCACCTTTATTTTGATTTTCTCTATTAGTGATGAATACCATGTTGAGTTGATCCACTCTTTAGATTGATATTCTTTTTTTTAAAGAAAATTAAAACTTTCAAAGTTAACATTTCTTTATTTAAAAGTTTTTTTATAATAATCCTTAACCTTGCTTTTAATAGTTTGTGAATCAGTAGTTATATATTCTATTCCCTCTTGATTCTTGGTTAACACTTGATTTAGCATAATTCTTAGTCTTTTGTAGTTCAAGATTGAGTTTAGTATCTATTTTTAATTGAACTTGAGATTTTCATACCTGTTTTCTAAGGCTTCTTTAATTTGATTTCTGATGTAAAAACTTTCTTTCTTCTTGTATACCATTCTGAGGCTATGTTCTATTTCAGTGATCTTTGATAACAGCTTTGAAATTTCTTTTTATAACCAGGGAGAAACTATTTCTTCTTTGATAAATTTATCAAATCTTCTTAATTTCTGAATAATCTTTTTTATATCTATTAGAATTCTTGTATTTCAGTTAACTTATATTTTCTTTAAAAGAAAGTGGATCTTGTTAACTTTTCTGTAGGCTTTGAAGTCTTCTTTTGAAATTGCTGATTCAAGCTTTGTTTTTTCTTTATATTAAAAATAGAGTAGATCCTTTTCTTTTTAAGATATTTGTAAGTATTCTTGATAATTTTTGACTCAAAATCATGCCAGGTCTCTTTGAGTTTTTGGAAACTATTCTTTACTTTTGGTCAGAGAGGTTACGAATCAATTTCTAACAATTTGTTTTCTATCTTTTTTGCATTCCATTTTTATTTTTGTTAATGCGCAGCATTGATAATCACAAAAGCAAAATATGATTGAATATCCTTCTATACAACGATAAGTATGTCATGTGAAATAAAATCTCAATAAAGACACTGTTATTGTTACTTAAAATAAAATATATGTGTATTACGAACATGTTATTTGTCGTGACTATCATGCACTTGTCAAACATACCGTAGTAAAGATGAAATGTTTTTTTGCGATTTTCCATATACAATTCTCATTTCTACTATTCAATTCTTTCAAATTTAGATTTTCAAGCTTTACATTAAATTTCAACAATGTCAAACCAAATAGTTCAGGAACAAGCTCGCGGGGGTTTTCGCAGCAACCGTGGTGGTCAAAATGGAAATCATAAAACAAGTCGAAGAGATCAACGACTTAACACCTTATCAACCCAAAACAGCACACGTCACACAGTTAACTTTGAGGATGCCCTCGATAATCCTTCTCCCAAAGACAATAGCGAAAACTGCTTCATTTGCGACGAGCCGATTACTTGCTATGCCGTTTCTTCCTGTAATCACCGGACTTGTCATCTATGCTCTTTGAAATTACGAGCCTTGTACAAGAAAAGAAATTGTGTATACTGCAAGGTATATAATAAGAGAGCTTTCATACGGTTAGAAAAGATTATTAATCCTTTTTATGCCTACAGACTGAACAAGAAAAGGTTATTTTCACTCGCGATCCTGAAAAGCCCTTTCAAGACTACAAGGATGCAGATATTCCTTATATTGACAAGAAATTGAACGTGTTCTGCGAGGATCTGGAAATATACGAAGATATTGGCATCTTATTGTCTTTCAATTGTCCCGAAATTAATTGTGAAGAACGTTTTAATGGATGGTTTGATTTGAAACGACATGTGAAAAGAGAACACAAGAGGTGGCTTTGGTGAGTTTTATCCTTCACAGGTCATACAAAATGAATCCGTTTATTCATGGTTCTTGAAATTTTTAGTGACGTTTGTATCAAGCATAAAAAAGTTTTTGTCCATCAGCATACTTTGTTCACTCAGCATGAACTTGATGATCACTTTGAAAAAGGCGACAAACAAGGATTCAAAGGGCATCCGATCTGCAAATTTTGCGATGCATATTTTTACGGAGAAGATGAGCTTTATAATCATTGCCGAGATTTACATGTACTATGCCATATTTGTGAATCGAATGGAATAAGACACCGATATTACATTGACTATAATAGATTGGTAACTGTTAACTTTGAAATATCATTATTATGTTCGTCTTAATTAAAAATCGCTCGTCATATTATATTAATTACAATTATTTTATTTTATTTTTATTTTTATAGCAACAACATTTCAAAAAAGAACACTATTTATGTTTGCATGAAGAATGTTTGGAGAAGAAATTCATTGTTTTTAGGACTAGTATTGATTTGAAAGCACATGAAGTATGTTACAACTTTGAAATAAATAAATATTCGTGAGCATGATACTAATAAAAATAACTTTTTAGGTAGAAGTTCACGGATCGGACGAAAGGAGGATTGAAATTAATTTTTCTTATGTAGACTCACATACAAGACCGAGAAGCCATCGGAGGAGTCCGGAAAGACAGGTTGAATGTTTTGCATATACTAGTTGGTGATATTGTGTTTATAAAACTCTAGCTTATCTATTTGCTACAACAATAGGATGGCGGTGGAGGAGATGTTGTAAGCCCTTCAATTGACTCTGGAAGGCAAACCCAGATAGGAGAATCGTCCACAAATGATAGCGGGTACGTTGTTAGTAGGAGAGTAAGACCTCCACCTGGGTTTGGTGGTTTATCACCCGAGGAGAACGCTGGATCATCGGATAGTTCACCACAACCAACTAATGTTATACGAGAACAGAGTTCTCGTGTTCGAATAGAAGAATTTCCAACCCTGAGAGCCTCGATGGAGGCAGTGGTAGGAAGTAATCCTGAAAGAACAAGATTTGACCGTTCTTCAACGCCAACTAGACATAACATATCGTCACAATCACAGACTGGAGATGTGAAAAAACGAGAAAAAGGAAAAGATCCTATGCAAAAACTGATGGTAGAAGCCAGTAGCAGTAGTGCCTCTTCCAGTGGAAGACTTCCTGTTAGGGATGAAGCATTTCCTGCTTTGTCTGTTGTTGGTAATTCCCTAAATTATAGTCAAAAACTAAAAGCAAATACAGTAAATAATAAAAGGTATTATTTGGTTTGTTAAAATCATTATTGTGGGTTTGGTAACAAAATTTAATTTAATATTTTGATTGCAGTCGGTATTTAGATCGCGTTCGTTCGTACTTATCTAACAATGATTCAAAAATCAACGAGTACCATTCATTGTTAAATTTATATAAAGAAGAAACTATTGATGCGAAAAAATATATTGCATCTCTTTCGTTACTGTTTGGCAAAAATTTGGGGAAAGTAGTTTCAGGGCTTGTCGAATTACTGGAAGATGAAACTAAGAAAAGAGAGTTGTTAAGCGCTTGGAATGATTATAAGGCCATGGTTAGTATGTATAACATGGTGGATCATTGTATACCATAAAATTAATCATTCTTTTATTATTTATAGGAGAGTTTTCCTGCCTTAGAGCCTTCGGAAGGTTCCAGTAGTGTTCACAAGCCTCCAGTTCAGAACAAATCAACCCCACGTGTTTTGGTAATTAAATCGTCAAGCACACGAGCCGGTGGAACTCGACCTAGTGGTGCTCATGTTTATGACAAAGTTGCGGCTGCCGCTCTAAAGTCTTCGACTAAAACAAACTCTAATTCACCTGCTTCTCCCGCTACCAATGCATGGAAGGATTTATCACAATTTACTGAATCTCCTCGGGCATCAAGTTCAGTTGGTGATTCGTCGTCATCCATGTCCACGAAGACTATTTTTATTAAAGGCAAGCCAGTGAAACTTGAGAATAATAACGATTTTCCAGGTCTCTCATCCACATCATCGTCGACACGTGTGGTTAACAGTGAATCCGCATGGGGCCACGGCGGAGCGTTCTCTTCTTTAACATCTAATCATCGCAATGATTCGGATGCTGACGGGGATAATGCTGATACGGAAAATGATGGAAAAAAAAGGAAGCAACAAAAGAAAAAACAAAAGCAAGTCTTGTACTATTCTAGATAAATTAGGAAATTAAGAAATCTTTGCGTGCATAAATCATTGTATTTATAAATTCATTTATAGCGTATAAATATACAATTGTACAAATAAATGAATATATAGAATAATAGTATTGTAATTTGAATTGCAAATTAAAAATTTAAAGAAAAATTGCTTATTCGAGAAAATATTATTATTATTTTAAACCGTGAAACTGTTAGGACTTTTATTAAAAAAATAGGTGAAGGTGGACAGGAATTTTTCGGACCCTATAATTGTGATCCTAAAATTTGCATTTACAGTATATACGCATTATTAAAAAATGGGGGCCGAAAAAATCATATTTGGGTAATTCTTTAAGGAGTTAGAACCTGTGATTTTCGGGTATCTAATTATATCGTGCTACATCTCGATTTACGCGGTATGCTTATTTAATGTATCGCGGAATTTTGAATTGTCGTGTCACGTGCCAGACGATCAAATCGTTTCGCGAATTTTGAGCGAAACTAATCATTGATATAAATTTTAAACTTTCTCTTCTTTAATTCAACGATTAAACCATTTTTATTACATAATCCCTTCTTTAAACTTAAGAAAAAGTATTTATACATTAATTTGTTTTCATCCTTGTTCTTTATCATTTTCAACAAAATATAATCCAGTCTCTCATCTTTAGTAGTTAGTTTATATAGAAATCTAAGTTAACAAATCTTGGTTTTCATTTTAATATTACACAATTCAGTACCTCTTTAAAATAAGTCAATAATTAATTTTTCTTTTTATAAATTGTCAAAGACCAATTTCTTCTTTCAAATTTACTATTACTAAACAATTCTTTGAACTTATTTTTAATTTTCTATTATAAAATTCTAAATTATCTATTGTTATATGTTAATATAAAAGATTTTCATTTTCTTCTAAAAATATTTTTATCAGTTTTAATTTCACTTTTATTTATTATTTGAAAAAAATAAAAAAAAAATATTTATTTTAAATTAAAAATACAAAATCTTTTTTTTAAAAAAAAGATAGATATATGTCTAATTTGTATTGAAAAAAAAGAGTTATAAAAAATTACAACAAATCAATTTTTCTAATTCTTATTTTATTTTTTAATTATAAGATCAATTCTATCTTTATTATTACTATCTTTATTTCAAAACTCAATAATATAATATTTATTAAAAATCTATTGATTATATTATAAAAATGTTTATAGCATAATTACAAATTTTTTTTTTTTTTAAAAAAAAAATAACTTTTTTATTAACTTTCTAATTCCATATAAAAAGACATTTACAAGAAGTTTTTATACTTTTTAACTACTAAAGTTTTTACATTTTTCTTAAACCAATTTGAAATTTGTTTTCAAAAGTTACTATTATCTTTTTTTACTTGTTTACAAACTCTTTTAAACAAAAACTTAAATCTTTAGAAGCTTGAATAAACTCAAATACATATTTTTTTTACTAAAGACAAAAAAATTCTAGAAAGTAAAAAATCCAACTAATATATGCTATCTTTCAGAATTGAAAATAACATGAAAATAGAAATTCTCTAAATAGTAAAAGGCATATTTTATATCTTCAACACATATCTATCCTTTACTTTCTTAAAGTGTCTACATTTTTTTATAATTTTTTTATCAAACAAAATATATGAAAAAGATTATTTTCTTATTTTTATCAGATTGTAAGATCAAAAAATAGAAGATTGTGAATTATTATCTTTTTCTAGAATTGAAAATGAATTTTTTAGATATTATATAATTATATCATATCAATGAGAATTCTATTATTTATTATAATCCTCTTATTATTACAAAACAAAAAGATTGTTAGAAAATCTAACTTTTTGAATAATAAAAGATAATAATCAATAAAATTTCTTTAATTATATATAGCTGTTAAAAAATATTAAAAGTTACATAATATAACTAAAAAACTATATAGGAATCTAAAGTTTATTATAAATTATTGATTTGTGCAAGTGAATAATTAAATCAATAATAAAAAAAAGAAAGTGTTAAGTAGGATACTAAATTTGAATAGATGATAAGTATCTTTGATAGTTATAAGAAAATAATCAATAATATAGATAGATAAGTTTCTTAGATAGTCAAGAAAAACAAATATATCAAAAAAGTTAACTTTTAATAAAAAAAGATTTTTAGTAAAGATTCTTTAAAAGATATGATGTACTTTTATTTTATTTATTATATTATTGTTTTATATAAGCTTATTTATATATTTTTAGATACTGTATATCCTTTTTTTTTTTATAGTTATTTGAAATCAGTTTCTTGAAGAATAATAAGTAGACAACTTGTTAGCAATGATATATAAATTAATATAATATTTATTTAAAATTTATTACAAAACAAAATATTGTTTTCAACGTTATATTTAGAAACTGAAGCTCTTTTAAAAATTGAAAGCTATTGACAAGTAAGTCAGTATAAAATTTAGTTTATATATGATGCAATTGTCTTATACAGTATATTTTTATCAGTTTTTAAAAAAAAAACAAAAAATTTTAACAAAATTTTCAAAATTGGTAATAATTTTATTAAAACTAATAGAAATTTTTATAAAATAATATAAATCTTTCTTTTAGGATTTATTATTTTTATAAAAATAATAACATTATAATTCAAATATAATAATTTAATTTTTTCTTAAAAATTTTATTTTATGATTTTTTATTTGTAATTAATTGTATCAATCAAAAATTTTTTAAAACTTTTTATATTATAATTTTATAAAATTTGTTTTTGATCAGATTTTTGTTTTTATTTAAATTAGCTAAATTATTATATTTTATTTTTAATTATTTATCATTTCTTTATAATAAAAGATTTTTTTTAAGTTTTTTATTATTTATTATAGAAAAAATATTATTGATATATTATTAAAATAGTTTTTTGAGACCTGTGGATCAATAATGCAGTAGGTGTGCTCCCTGGTTACCATTCACAAGTTACTAGTTCAATCCCACTTCAGAACAATATTTGCATTATAGGTTATATAGTACAAGAATGTGTGCTAATTAGCCACATGCATGCTTGAATATAAAACAACCTATAGAAACCCACTGTCTAATTATGGTGCCATAAATCAGGTCACACAGGTCCTGGTCGGTTTTAATACTAGGAAACAAACAATGACATTCTGTCACTTGGAATATGCACAGACACCAAGAACACCAAGAAAGACAATGATAAAACTCAGAAACCTATCAGCCTCATATGGAATCTATCTCTTTTCAAAAACTCTAATCTCATGGAAGATCTGGAAGACTTCAATCATATACACCAGCTACAAATGTAAGGACCAGACATATATTGAAAGATCTTTGATTGCTTTCACCAATGATTACTAGAGACTGGATCTTGCGGGTCACCAATGAGGAGTGATGAAGTTGAATAGTCACAATAGAGTAATACAGGAGTAGACCCTAGGAGAAAAAATTTGAAAACAATCACCAAGGTAACCAATCCAATGGAAGAAGCAATTCACTATGAAGTAATCAAGAGATACCCCTGGAAAAACCATATTTGAAGAGTGGTTAAAAATGGTTACTGAAAGATTACGATTGTCAATTTGGATCATCAATGATCACCAGGAGACTTTATGGGACCACATGGTAACTGAAGAATATCAATGAATAACCAATTTTCTGAGAACTAAGTATGGTAAAAAGATGTCAATTATGGAACACATATCCCACAAGGTATAACAGATCACATGAATCAAACAATTCCAAAAATAGCTTCCTGAATATAAAAAAAGAAGTCCTCTAGTGAATTCTTGAAACATCAAAAGTGTCCAAGCATAGCAGAGTGGCTGACAAGATGGTATCCATATTGGATAAAAATCTAAGAGTGATTTGAATGAATTAGAATAGTATAGATTAGATATAAAAATTGCTCTTGTAAAATAACTCTGTATAACTTCTTAATAACTGATCAATAAAACCCAGTCAGTATGACTATAAAAAAAAAAAAAATAGTTTTTTGAAAATAAAATGATTTATAAATTTATATTTTTAAAAAATAATTAATTTATGAAAAGCAAAATCCAATTTTCATTTAATAATATTTTTAATATTTATTTATAAACTTAATCTAGAAATAGTATTGACAAATTAACAATAAATAATTTTCTGAATATTTTTTATTTTCAAAATTTAATAATAAATTATATATTTTTACTTTTAATATATTTAATTTTAAAGATTAGTCAGTAATTTTTTTAAGATAAAAATTGTTAAAATATAAGAAAAACAAAATATATATTATTTAGACAATTAAAATCTATAGTAGTAATTTGTAAATAATATATAACTTTTTCTACTAATCCTTTTTCAATATATAAAAAAGATTTCACAAGAAAATTTTTATTTCTTTACTAATAAAGTCTTAACACTATCCCGAAATCAACTTGAAGTATTATTTTAAGAGATACTCTTAAAACTTTTTTTTTATCTATATTTATCTTCAAATAAAAACTTGGCTTTTTGTAATCTAGAAAAGTCAAGAAATACTTTTTCTATCTATGGCAAGAAAGTTCTGCAAGAAAGAAGAACTAATAATATAGTATTTGAAGTCTTTCATATTAAAGCATGTTTATAGAGATTTTTAATAGTAAGAGATGGTAAACATTAAGCTATATTTTCAAGGTGTCTACTCATTATATTTTCCCTTTTATAATTACTCAAAATTTTTTTGAATTTTTGAAAAATTTTGGCTACTTTGATTTGACCTTGAATTTTAAGTAATATAATTCATTGCAAAATATGATTAATAAATATGAAATACATTAGTAGCTAGATATAAACAAGTACCTACTAGTCATCTTATATATTCTAATAATATCATTGATAATAGAAAAAGTTAATGGACACCCTATTTCTTTTTTGCTCCTTCAATTGGGTCAATCTACAGATCAAGTTCTATAAGGCCAATAAAATACAAACAACAAGTCCCCAGGTGATAAAAAACTACTAGTTATTTAAGCTGAGAT